CATCACTACACTACAAACCTCAACCTCCTCCAACTCCTCCTCCTCCTCCTCCTCCTCCTCCTCCTCCTTCTCCTCCTCCTCCTCCTCCTGCTCCTCCTCCTCCTGCTTCTCCTCCCCCTCCCCGTCCAACTCCGTCTGCTCCACCTCCTCCTCCTCCTCCTCCTCCTCCTCTTCCCCCTCCTCCTCCTCCACCTCCTCCTCCTCCTCCTCCACCTCCCACTCCAGCTCACTCCTCCCTTCTTCCTTCCTCATCCCTGTGGCTCCTTTGTGGCATACAGCTCCGCACTAGCCTGAGCGAACCCAGAGAATCCTCATCCTTCTCCTCCTTGATCCCACTTCTTACGAGCGGGAAACATATAAATTTAGGTCGGGCATGTCCTCCTACAGGCGGATTTTGGACGAGAAATACTCCAAAATGGTATTAAACAAAAAATATGCAAAAAATCGTCTTGAATATTCCTCCTGTAGAGGGACCGGCCCAGCTGAAATATACATTCCACGCCCTCGCGGCATGAATTCAAGGGCGCGATCCTGTGAATTCGCGGTCGCATGGGTGCGTTCCGCGCTGGGCATCCACGGAAAAACGCCCCCTATCCGCGGGGCCACGGCCCGGGGGCACAGCGCGCAGTACGGAGACGACTCCCGCGCACAATCATCTCCCTCCTCCTCCTCCTCCTCCTCCTCCTCCTCCTCCTCCTCCTCCTCCTCCTCCTCCTCCTCCTCCTCCTCCCCGCTCCTCTCTCCATCTGCCAAGGTGCTGCCCCACCCCCCGGCCCGGCGTCGCCGTTCTCGGGGCCGTGCATGCCACTTCCGCGCAGCTTCCAGTCCTTCGGCACGGGCGCGCGCGCGTCGTACGAGACGGGGCCGAGCGCACCGTTGGGCAGCTTGGGCGGGACCTGCTGCCAGGACCCCAAGTACTGCAGGTCGCCGGCCGACCAGTAGTGCTTGAAGCGAGTACGCGAGAGGCGCATCGCCATGGCCCCTGCGGAGGAGGGGTGCCTTTCTCCCTCAGGCGCGCGAGCAGCTCGCGGTGACTCCCTTGAGCGTCGAACCCGGCTGGCTGTGGAACAAATGGCACTGCATAGACTATGAAGAGAAAGCCGCGCGTCCGCCGCCGCGCCTTGGCATCAATGAGCGTGGCCTGGGCCCAGGCCGTGTGCCTTCCCCCGACACGCTCATTCTGACGGAGCCCTGGGCTTGCTTCTCTTCCTCCATGCTCTCGTGGGCCTCCCGGCCTACCCAAAGATCGCTCACAGACGGCCCTGGAAGGGCGCGACGCCTCAACGGCAACCCCCCAAGACGGCTCGACATCTCCGAAGCATCCCAAGGGTCCGCCACTCTGACCCCTCGCGGATGGCCGCGAGACCCGCTGAGGCGAGCCGAGATCCCAGGGAGCCGGGAAGGGGGCTCCGCAGAGGCACACGTGCAGGCTCCGGAGAGGCTCTCTGGCAGCACCCAGCCCTGGGGGGACACCGGGGGTGCAGACTGCTGGGCCTGTTTTCTACGACCACCACCACAGGTTGGATGGGGGGAAGGAGGAGGAGGAGGAGGAGGAGGAGGAGGAGGAGGAGGAGGAGGAGGAGGAGGAGGGGGAGGTGGGGGAGAAGGACGAGGACACCCTCCCCCTCCAACGAGTGGTGATGGTGGAAAACAGGCCCATCACGGACACCGCTGCGCACTGGAGCTTTCCCGGGATGCATTCTGGCCCGGATCCCTGGGAGAATCCAGCCGTGGCGACGAGGGCCCTCCGGGACGAGAAGCGGTGCTGGTTATCTTACCAGCCTCGAACGTATCCCTATCCCTACGATTGACACGCCAAAAGGCGATGACAATCTTAGGGATTCGCCCTCAAAAAATAAGGGAATCCCTAAGATTGGCATCGCGATGAGGTGGTGCCCAGCAAAGGGATAGGGATATGCTCCAGGCTGGTAGTATCGGCTGCACGCAAGAGTGACCCTGGGCAGGAGCGACCTTAGTGCGCGACGTTTTGGGGGGGGGGAGGGGGCGAGGAGGAGGAGGAGGAGGAGGACACAAGTCGGGGATGGACACAATCCCCTTTAGTGAAACGTGGTTTAGTGAAAACGACCTCGGGCACAGACCTGGCGGGCGCAAGCCTGGAAAATGACGGCCGCGGCGCCCTCTCGAGAGCCGAAAACGGACAATTCGCTTATCGACGTGTCAGGGTGGGGGTTCTGTCCACCGCCGAACAAGACGCTGCTGCCGCATCGCGTTCGGCGATCGGGGGACACCAGCGGGCCCGCAGCAAAGGTCACTCCGGCGAAAGGCCACTCTTACGTGTAGTCGATGGTATCCCAGTCACGCGCCGCCATGCTTTGTCCGATACGCAGCCCCCTGAAGCCCCGCCCCGGTCCACGGGGCCAGCTTCTCACCCTGCCGTATTTTCACGGCCCCGGGGCCCAGCGATTGCCCCCAGAGGCCGAGCAAAACGAAGACCATCGTCATCTTGTTTTTGTTACGACGCGAGCATGTCTGGGTTGCCTGCCTGCATGCCTGCCTGAGGGTCGGGGCTTGCTAAAGCACTTTGGAGCTCCTCGGGGCCCCTGGGCCCCCGATTCTGTTCAGCGTGAATTTGGGAGACGAAAGGAGACGGCAGAGAGGAATGACGGCGATGAACGCTCGAAACAACGCGAAAGTGGGGCAGCGCGAGAGCGCAGCAGGACGCCAGCGATGCCCCCCCAGGGGCCGAAGATGGTGAGAACCCCTCCCCAACCCTGACCTTTCCACGACGCGACGGCGCGAGCACATCTGCGGCGCGACTTGTTCCTCCATCGGGGATGGACAGACCCCCCTTTAGTAAAACGTGGTCTAGCGAAAACGACCCGAAGCCAGAACCTGGCGGGCGCAAGCCTGGAAAATGACGGCCGCGGCGCTCTCTCGAGAACGGAAAACGGACAATTCACGAATCGACGTGTCACTGTTGGGGGTTCTGTCCACCCCCGACTCCACAGCGAGGCCCCCCCACCGGCCTGCGCTGCCTGCGGGCCCGGCCTGCGGGCCGGCAGCAGCCGCGCCCGGCGTCGCTCGAGGCACCCCTCGGCGCCCCGCTGCCCCGCTGGCATCTCCGCGCCCCGCCCTGCCCGGGGCGGCGGGACGCGCGGCCGCTCATCGTCCTCCTCCTCCTGCTCCTCCTCCTCCTCCTCCACCTCCTCCTTCCTCCTCCTCGTCCTCCTCCTCCTCCTGCTCCTGCTCCTTCTCCTGCTCCTGCTCCTGCTCCTGCTCCTGCTCCTGCTGCTCCTCCTCCTCCTCCTCCTCCTCCTCCTCCTCCTCCTCCTCCTCCTCCTCCTCTTCCTCCTCCTCCTCCTCATCCTCATCCTCATCCTCAGCATCAGCATCCTCACCATCATCATCACCATCGTCATCATCATCATCATCACCATCATCATCATCATCATCATCATCATCATCATCATCATCATCATCACCCGCATCATCATCATCATCAGCACCACCATCATCATCAACATCATCATCAACATAATCATCAACATCATCATATCAATCCGCCACATGGCCGCGAACTCGTCGGGAAGGCGCGCCACGGGAACAGGCCCTCGGCCGCGCAAGACTTTGGCCAACGCCACCACCAGCAGCGGGGACGCAGCCAGTGCCGAGGGCGGGGCAGCCACCGCCTCCGCCAGCGCCGGTGGCGAGGCAGCACGTTCCAGAGCCTCCAAAGACGCAGCGCCATCGGGCCGCGCAGGCGGCCCGGCACGAGGCAGAACGCACTCATCCTCTCGAGCGTCATGTGCGGGTGGCGGGAGCAGACAGAGCGGCGGCAGTCCGGGAGCATCGCGTGCAGGTTGCAGAGGCACCACTGGTAATTGCGGCAGCGGGCGCGAAGCGCTCGCCGAGGAACGCGGCGGGGCGCAGGGTGCACTCCTGGGTACAGCAGGTCAGAGGGCGCCAGGGGCCACGCCAGCGCCCGCAGCAACCAGGTCCACAATCGGCGGCATGTCATCGATCTGGACGTCCGGTTGAACTTCAAGCCGAGCACGAGAACGAGCTTGGGCATCGGCAGCAGCGACTGCGCGAGCGAGGCTAGCCACGTCGCGAATGCAAGGTCGGCGGCCAACTCGGGCCGCGAAGCCGAGCCTGCGCACGGCGGCGCGCACGGGCGGCCTCGGCCAGTCGCCATGGCGCTGGCCGGAAGCATCTCGCGGCGCGCGGCTGTCCCGGGAGAAGGGGGCGGTCGGGACGGCGCGCATGGGCGCATGGGCCCCTAGCCCTCCAGTGGGAAATGTCTCCACCTGGGCCGGAGCCTTGAAACGCAGGGAGGAGGGAGGAGGGAAGAGGAGGGGGAAGAGGAGGAGAAGAGGAGGGGAACGCGGGGACCGTCTCTTCAGAACGAGGACCCAACACCACAGGATGGTTGGGAACAAATAGTGTTCTGTGAGCGTGGTGCTCCTGCCTCTGTGGGCCCCCAAGGAACTCCAGAGGGGCCGCCCGGACCGACGGCGGGACCAGTGGGAGGCAGGCCCCACTGTGGCCGCGAGACGGCCCCAAGGGGCTGCAACATGACCCCAGGGCGGCCCAAGATGGCCCAAAATAGCCCGCAGGAGACCTCCAGGGTTTCTGAATTGCCGTCTCGTGCGTTCGGGCCCCGATGGCGAGACCCAAGTGGGGGCGTGTTCCGTCCAGTGTCGCACTGCATATGCCAAGCGGCTGCTTCTCCCCCACACGAGCTTCACACGACACGATGGGGGGGACTACTACAACTTCACAGCTTCCAACTGCCCACGAGCACGCGCAACTGGCAAAGACGACACATTATGGGCCAGCGGAATGCGCGAAGCGGTTGCCTCTTCCTCCGATGCCATCCTCGTGGTCACCGTTCTCCGCCGACGTGTGTGTCCTCATCCGTCTCTTCTTTTCCCCCTCCGAATGGGACGCAGAAGTGGTGGAAGAGGACCAGAGCAAGCGAACTCACGCCCGCTTTCCAGCTGAGAGAGACTCACTCGGCCGCGACGCGAATCACAAGC